ATCAGCACACTTGCGGCGAAAGGGGCAAAGCCTGCATTTGGCAACTCCATCAGGGAAGGCACGGCCGCGATTACGACGGGCCATCACAAGGGCAGACTGAGGCAGGGCCCGGCTGGCATGATGCAACCGCTCAGGTTGCGGGGCATCATCATCGTCCCACTCCGGCAAGGCAGGCATTTGAGAATGCACGGAAGCACCAGAAGAGACGGCTCGGGACCAGACCGTCTCAGCAGCACCGCGAGCGCGCTTAAGAGAACTGGAACCAGACCGGGGGACAGCAAAACAATCGCCCCTTTGCGAACTCGGAACTGAAGCAACATGCCGGGATTGCGTAGCGGCCTTTCTGCTCGACGCGTTGGTGGCAGTCCACACAGTGCCCGCCTTCACAGAAGATGATCGGCTGGCCTTGGATCGGTTTGATCGGGCGCAAGCAGTCCAAACAGTACCAGAGCACTGGGAAGCATCATCCCCTCCAGCCCTCAAGTCAACGACAGCACCACTCGTAACGGAAAAAACCTCCTCAGGGTAGTCTTTAGCATCCTTAGCGGGCAAAAGAAGCTCGATGTGCCGAGGTGTGTACCATAACACCAGCCTCCTTTTGCGCTGCTGCGCATGAAACGACATCGCACTAAAATTCCCATCGCGTGGGATCACAAGGATGTGGCAATCAAATAAGCGTCCGAGAGCCTTCAGCTCGATGGTAGAGGCGTATGCAGATTCCGAAGCAATTAACTTGAGGTATTCCTCAAAGGCGTCCTCCGGAGATGCGGCATTTTCGCGCAATTTTTGTAAAGCCGGCCCGTGGCCGTCCCATTCCCCTATATATTGCGAGGCATATTTTCGCAAGTGCTCGACACAGCGCGCCCTCAAGTCCCTGTGGGAGTGCTCGGTTTTCTTAGGGCCCGAAAGCCAGTGGAGGCCACGCGCTATGGCGTGAAACAAACAGGCTCCGTCTTTCGGAGTCTCAATGAGATCACACCCCGAGGGGATTTGCCGATGCGAAGCCGCAACATGTTTGGCAGGGGACACCTCCTTACCGTCATCATCCAGTTCAGCGGGGACCTGAATTTTAACGGATTGGGGCTCCAATGCAGGCTTCTCCTTGGCAAGACAGGGAGTCGGCGCACATCTCAGAGGTCGCTGCTTAGCTTGCTTAGGCTTGTAGGGTGCAACCGTGGCCCACAGCGTGATTTCATTGTCCTTCCCCGGCTCGCTCTCGACGATAGCACTCAAAGGAACCAGATCAAGATCGCCGTGTTTAAGCGTAGCTCTGAAGCGATACAAGTACTCAGCGCCAGTGCGCTTATGCTGAATCAAAGCCACATCCTTGAAGGATTGGTCCAGCACCTGCAGCACTTCCTTCTGTCCCCAGCTAGCCGGCACATGAGGGAAATTCCAAACACGCGGGACAGCCTGTGAGGGATCCCTAGGCGATCTGGCGCCAATGCGTCCGCCCTGGGTGGCAAGGCCATAAGGAGCACTCATGCGGAGGCCGCGTTCAAGGTACGCAGTCGGAGCTTCCCCCTTGGTAACAGCAAGCCACTGCACAGTGGAGACAAGCTTGCCGCGCGGCACATCAACAAAAACTCCATCCCGGCCACTGACAGCAACGAGAGAAGACAACTCGGAGTCCAGGAGGCGAGCAATGCCAAACAACTGCAGTCCTTGCTTGCCAGCCTGCTGCTCCTCGACCCAACCCCACGTGTCACTCAAAGTGATTTGGTGAGAGCTTGCCCAAGAAGAAGCAGCACGACTCGGGTTGTTCTTCCAATGCTTGAATTTATCAGGCGTCATGTACATCTCAGGCACCTTAAAGTAGACGACCGAAGTGGACGCAGGAACAACTTTAATGGCCTTGGCCTTGTGCCCCGCAAAGCAAGGGACACCACCATCAGCAGGGTCAGATTTGCAATGTGCAATCGAGGCTCGTCGAAAACGGAGGAGATCTCCCACACATCCCGGGACCTTGTGAGGACCATTTGCGTCCAAGGTTACAAGGGTGATTTTATGAGATTTGCTGGTGCCTGCAAGCATGGTGCGAATTCTCGGCAGCGCCGAGGGCTCGACAAGAATGACAGCTTCCAGAGTAGAACCCGGTTTAAGTTCGTCCAATGCTTTGGCAATGCCATCCTGCGACAACAACTGCGCGCTCCAATCCTGCCTTCGGAGCTGGAAGGGGCCCTGCGGGGGAGCACGCTGAACCTTGGTCCAGCCCTCAGCATCACGAGGAGGCCGGTCGCCCTGCCCTTTGCCCTTAGGTCCAGACTTGGGTGGGGACGCCTCTGCACTGCCTTTAGCAGCACCCTTGGCCGAGCCCTTTGCAGCACCAGGCTGACCACCTCTGCCACCAGCTGCTTTGCCCTCGCCCGGCTCACGAGACGAAGGATGGCGGCTCGACTCATGGTTTTTTTCGCTTGTTGCTGGGGTTAGGGTCAGGCTTATGGCGTTTGGGCCCTCGCTCCAGGTCCGGTTCCTGCAGCACAACACGGGGAGGGGTTGCCGGGGCACCTCCCATTGCATTTGCAATGGCTTCCTGCACAGCTTTCTGAATGAGCGCAGTGATCATGGGCATAAGCTGTTCCGTGATGCTGGCCATCATGCCCTCAAACGGGTTGCCGCCTCCAAACCTTAGGCCAGTGGGGCCCGAGCAGCCCTCAGGCAGGCAGGAGCGCGAGGCAGCAGCAGAGTCCTGGTCCTTTGTCACAAGAGTGCTGCTGGAAGAGGCTGCCCGCCAGCAGGTCGCAGTCCACAATTGCAGTTGTGCATCAAGCCAGCAGAGCATACCTCGCACACACATGTTGGAAGCAGGCTGCTCGGGGCCAAATGGGATATACTCGGACCTTTCGGCCTACCTTGACTCACTGACCCCGGCAACTGCACACAGACAGGCGGGCTTCTTGGATCATACATGCCAGCATGGCACACGTGACACAGGCAGCAAGGCATCAAACTACCAGGGGCCACGCGGGATATACTCGGACCTTTCGGCCTGTCTTGACCCAGTGGCCCCTGCAGTTGCACACCGTCAAGATCGCTCTGAGTTTGCAGCTGTCCCGCTCTGCGCGTCGCAGGCACCTGGGCGCAGGCGCCATCAGAAAGACTCCCCACAGCCCGCATGAAACAAGCTTTGCTGGTGCAATTCGGACAGGGGCCCATGGCAGCATTAGATGTATCAAGAAAAACCCGATCCGAACCCTGCAAGTCAGCAACAAGTGGAACCTGACACATGCAAGAGGAGACTGCAACGAGCCTGGCAGGGTCCCGGCCACACACATCAGAAGCTACAGGCTCACTCTGAGGCAAGACCACACATGTCGGCACAGCATCTCTCCCTGTCAAGGGCTTGCAAGTGCACTCGGGAACTCCAAAAAGCACAGGAGGGCATCTAAACCGAAAGGGTGAAGGGAAACCCTGTTGAAGGCATTCAGCACCACACTCAGCACGGTCCTGGGACTGCTCGACGAGACCACGGTCCCCTCGACCCACAGATATGCACGCCGACGGCGGCCTGTATTGGGAAGGCCCCCGGAGCCCTGGGTCAGCGACCCCACCTCCTCCTGGCAAAAACTCCAAACCCGGATTACACCCACCACCTGGGCTCCGGGGGCACACTCTATTAGGTATCACAAGATCATCCCGATCAGCTGTTGCAGCAGGCTGGACATCAGGTACCCAAGGGGGCATAGGCCTAAACCCTAGCGGAGAAAGTGAGCCATGGTTAGTGCAGCAATGGGGCAGCGCATCGCCCCCAACAGAAGACACGGGTACCCCTATGGGGGAGGACCTAAACCCTAGGGGGGCAGAGGAATCACGGCAAGGGCAGCAGCCCCGGCAAGAAGCGTCGTCGGCACCAGCGTCCTTGCCCTGCGCGATGAAGAACTGGCCGCCACCGTCACCAGCCGCCAGCGAGCCCAGGCCATGGCAGCAGCACTGCGAGGAGGAAGAACAGGGGGGCTCCGGGGAGCCATGTCTACCACTAGCACAAGTAGCTGGCACCAGAGGCCCGGTCTCAGTCTCAATCTTTGCCCTTTTGCGGGTCTTGATAGCGCTGAGCTCCCACAGAACACTAAGAACACGGCCATAAAGGCTCTTCGTCCTACAGTCAGGCTCGCACTCACCATCACAATGGGCACTAGTTAGGCCTCTCAGGCTCTTTGCCCTTTCGCGGGTCTTGTTGATTTCTTGACACTCACAATCATCACTAGCTAGGCCTCTCAGGCTCTTTGCCCTTTCACGGGTCTTGTTGATTTCTTGAATGTCACACACGGGGTTCTCAGCAGCGCAAGTCGACGTCCCACATGGCCCAGCACCAAGGTCCAGACCAGACGCTGAGGGAAGAAGCTGCTGCTGCGGCGCGTAGTAAAGAAATTCCTCAGAGAAAGTGTCCTCAATCAAGTGGAGCCCAAATGCTGCACTTGCCTGCGGCACGTAGTAAAGAAACTCCTCAGAGAAAGTGTCCTCAATCATGTGAAGCCCAAATGTTGCACTTGCCTGCGTGTCAGAAGCATGCACACAAAGCTCACGCGCCAAAGGGAGCCCCTGAGCAGGGCATTCATCCCCAGCAATAGCAAGGGCATCCTCTCGACAAACACCCATCGAGAGCTGCACCTGAGAATCATCCTCGGCAGATGCAAGACCGATCCCCGACTGCCAAGGATCTGCCACGGCAGCAGAGTTGCTGCCCCCACTGGTGCCATCTGAGCTGGCCCCCACTGAAGCCCCTGACCACAAGCCAAAGGCCCCTACTGCGCTCCACACCATAGTTCTCGGCACACCACGTTGAGCCAAGAAATCAAAATCCTTCTGGAACAGCTGAAGCTGAAAACCACGTGCTCGAACAATGAAAGCGCTCAGCATTTGCAGGCGCTGAGCCACCCACGGTTGCGCATCTCGGTCATTGCCAGACGCTTTGCCCCAGCTGCCGAAGCAGCTCTTTTCTTTCCCATTCACTGCTTTTCCCAACAAAGAAGCACCATCACTCAAAGCACAATGCATTCGCTTCAAAGATCGCCGTAAGTGTAGGTAGCACCCACAATCAAGGCCTCCAGAAGAAGGAGCCATGGCCCGAAGGCACGTGTGGGAAGTGTCAGCCCTGCACTCGGGAAAGTACAGGTTAACCAGCTCAAGGCACGCGGAGCCCCTCCCCACTTGAGCCCAAAACTCCAGAATTTCCGGTGGTCTGGGGGCTGAGCGACTTCGAGAAGACCGCTCAGCTGCTGTCCGAGGTCCTCGCGGGTCGGGTGAAACATCCCGCAACCTGCTGATACATCTAGGAGAGTGCGAAGCTGTGCAGCACAAGTCCAGAGCGATGATCATCAGCGACACTATTAACAAAAGACGAGGCACCATTAAGAGAGCCTTCGCCACACGTTGAATGGGAGGGAAGTCAGGTAGCCGCAGTCCGTCTGACATGAAACCTCCTCTTGTGAAAAGTAACGAATTGGATGTATCAGATTAGCAACGCAATCACATCCGGAAACATTCCGAGCAGCACAGCTACGGTTCGGAAAGAAGAAAAACTCAAAACGACCTGAGCATCAAAGCAACGAGTCAGGTCCCCTGCACAGAGCAGCAAGGCTACAGGTCTGAGCAAGGCAAAAGAAGCTCGCGGGAGGCTCTCACATCAACTCAGAAGGCGTCGTCAGGGGAGCTCAGAGGACCTCGCCAGTCGCAGCCGCCAGCAGCCGCCCTTGTAGTTGACGAAGAAGAGGAAGTAGCGTGAACCAGCAGCCCACACCAGCAGCAGCAGCGCCAAACACAGTCGAGCTAGCCGCGCTAGGAGTAGAGCAAGTTCACACCAGGCGCACACGGATGGGCCACAGCCCCACAGATCAAGCATTGGTCATGAGAAAAGTCCTGGGACCAGCAAAGCCCGTCAGCAGCAGCATCACCCACTCACGCAGGCAGAGCCGCGCTCAGCAGAGGCTCTGAGCACACTCCAGGAGCACACGGGAAGCCCTAAGGGGAGCCTAAACCCAAAGAAACCCAAAAAGGGGGAGCAAGGAGAGCGCAGAGTCACGGAAAGCCAGGAAGGGAAAACCCCCGCCACAGCAGCAGCGACACGCAGCAAAGCGAATCCTCGCTCAAACAGATTATGGTTAACGTAAGGCGTACACGGATGCCTCTAGGGAGAAGGTGGGGCCTAAACCCGAACAAACCCAAAGAGGAGCAGGCAGGAAGTGATAAAGCATTCCGCCGAAAACGTGAAAGAGTGCGAGCTCGCAGAGAATTCCGCCAGCAGCAGCATCGCCACACAAAGAAGCAAAGCCGCGCGCAGCAGAAGGCCTGAGCTCACGCAAGATGCACACGGGTACCCCTAGGGGAGAAGGGCCTAAACCCAAGGAAACCCTAAGGGGAGGCGAAGGCATCGTCAAGGGCAAATCAAGGAATGAGAGGCCCAAGATGTGTGGTCCAAGATCATCCAGGTGCAGCCAAAATGGTCAGGGCCTGGCCCCTTCCGGCTCAGCATCATCGAGAGGAACGCTTTTCACATGTTTATCCAGCTTCTCGGCAGCAGCTGCCGCGATCCGGATGGTGGCAAGCTCCCAATCCCGAGCCTGATCACACTGCTGATGCCATCGCTCCCTTAGAGAGCCCATGAGCCTGTTTTGCATGCAGTTGCCCGCCGCCTGATCTGCAGCATGGTTAAAGGCGCGGAGCACATCCGCATCATGATCCGGCGAAGGCCTCCAGCGGGGGTGCTTATTATGTGACGGCACCCAAATCAAGGAGATAGCACAGCCCCGCCTCTCCAGCTCCTTCCAGAGACGGCGCACGTCCCTCAGCAAGAGACCCAACGTGAATGGATCATCACCTTGACCCGAGATGGCCGTGAGGGCAGCTTTGCAGTCGGTCAAGATAAAGAGGCACGGCACGCAGCCCTCACTCCACACCCGGTGGACCGAAGCAAAGGCCGCGTGGAGGGCCAGAACTTCTTGCCGATACGGGGATTGATCCTCGGCCCCAGTGCCCATGGCATAGACACAAGACGGATCACCGATCACCACCGCATAAGCACCGACAGATAGATGGCTGGAGCCATCAGTAGCCGCATAAAGCCTGCTCCTGCCCGAGCCGAGTGCAGCACGGAAAGCAGCATCTAAGTCCGCCCGAAAAGCCCCACAGTCAGAGGAGGCAGGCGCCGGAGGTTTCAAGGGAGTCGACTTCGCAAACATGCGTTCCTCCGCTCGCGTCGTCGGAGGGGGGTGGTCCTGCCGGAGCGCCTTGGTGCACTCGCAAGCGACGGAGCAGTCGCGCCGCAGAGGCACTGCATGCGCCTGTGCTGCTCGTTCAAACCCTGCCCGGCCGTAAAGAACCAGCACGAGCCTCCCGTGACAGCAGCGGCCCGTCTCATATAAGGGGTGGTCGCCTCATGCATGGCAACACGGTGCCCACGAAAGCTGAAGCGCGCATCCCGCAACGGAGGCGCAAGATCCAGGCCGCGTGCAAGGCTCGGGTCCGGCCTATGAAAGCTCCGCCAGACGCCCTGGCATCTCTGCATGTAAAGGTGCCGGTAGTGGTCAAACAGCCAGCCCTTAACCTCAGCGAAGCTCTCCCATCCGACCTGCACCTCACGAGAGATCCCTAAGTCATCGCCATCGCGGCAGGCGAAGAAGAAGCCGTCAGGGCGTTCAACCACGCTCCACCCCAATTTGCGAAGGAGGCCAGGCGCAGCAGGCAACAGCTGATCCCAGCGCTGGCCCCGGGCGTCACGCGGCTGCTCCAGAGCAAAGGCCGGAGGCTTGCAGAGGAGGCGCCAGGCCTCGCGGAGCACAGCAGAGTCAGCAGCACACTGTGGCTCCAGCATCCACCCCACATGTTCGAAGATCAGGACACGCGGGGCTTCAAAGGAAAATTGACAGTCAAAAACTCGAATCGCAGCATCTCTAACTTGCTTCATCTCGCCTGCCAGCGGCGTAGCGTAGGCAGCGGCCCACACCAAACACGGGTAAACAAGCGATTTCAGCATGAGGGCCCGCAGTCGACTGCAAGCGGTCACCCAGCGCAAAAGGTCCATGCGCAGCAAAGCTTTTCTCAAGGAAAATTTCAGCAAGCCCCATTCATCATTAAAGGAAACAGTGACACCTAAAACTTCAAGGGTTTGCGAAAACTGATAGTTTAATCGGGCAGCCAGAGCAGGAGCCTCGACATGACCCTCTGGCGCCACGATCGCACACTTTGGCAGGGATATTTCAAGACCACAAGTGGCATCGAATCGGTCGGAGCGCCGAATCGCATGCTCCAGGTCGCCAAGATCCGCAGAGAAAGTCCAGAAGGAACGGTCGTCCAAGTAGACCAGGCCTGAAACCCCTTGCCTCAACACAGCCAAGGTCCAAAGGTGGCTAAATGCGGCAGCAAGGGTGGGACTTAAGGGACAACCCTGAGCTATACCCAAGCGGGGCTTAAACCAGGCATCACTGTATGCACCATCAAATTGGACGATGCGCGAAGCTCGCGTGTAAAAGGCCTTCAGCAGTGGCCAAAGAAAAGGCGGCGCTTTCAGATGAGAAAGGAGGACCTCAAGGGCTTCAAACTGGATGGCATCAAAGAAACCCGCAATGTCCTGTTGTACCGCAACATTAGCGCCACCGCGCATTGCAGCATTCAGCTGAAGCAGGGCACCCGACACCGACGTGCCCGGGATGCCACCGGCATCCGACGGAGACCTCCAAGAACCTATCCAGTCGGAAAGTTGGGCATTCAAAATCCTTGCTCCCGCACGCCAGACAGCTTGAGAGACGGTTAACGGCCTGAAGCCCCCCTTGATTTTCTTAATCATCACCACACGTGCCTGCGCCCACTGGGCGGGGACGTCACAACAAGCAAGGCACCGATTCCACAGCTGGGAGGTCCACACCCACCAAAGATCAGGCATGGAACAAAGCAGCCCAGGTTTCCACGCATCCGGCCCAGCAGCACGGTGCCGCATGGACTGCATTGATCGTCGGAGAGCCTCCGGCGTGATGTTAGGCACGACCTCCAAGCTTGCGGGGCGCGGCAAGGGCCGCAACAGGTCACGCATGGCTTGCATGTCAACCGCCCGAAAGGACGCGGGACAGAGCTTCGCACGCAGGTCCTTCGCCACAGCTGCAACCGCGACCGCCGGATGTGCAGGGTCGCCCGGACTGGCAACATCCGGAAGCTGACGCTCCCAAGCAAGTTGCTCATCAGCGCGCCGCTTGACAAAAGACCGGGCACGAGGCAGGTCAGCACGCGTCCTGGTGCGCCACATTTGCTTTCTTGCCTCCTCCTCCTGCTGCGTGAAAGTCTCGATGAGCTGTGCAACATGTGGAAGAAGAGAGAGCTCATCGCCATCACGGGCATAAGGCAGGCTGGGCACCTTCAAGCGCGTGGACCGGAGTGAGCGCCTGATACGCGCCACCAGCAAAGCATCGTTCGTCCGGTGGGAAAGAACCTGAAGCCTCGCACGGAGTCGCAGCAAAAGGCGCAGGCTCTCCGACTTCACAAGCTGCTTGCCAGCCCGTCCCGCGGCGCTGTGGGCGACAGGCTCCCAGGAAGACGCACGAGGAACGCACTCTGCAGAGCACGGCTCACACAGCAGAAGCTCAGCGGTGTCCGACAAGAAGCGCCAAGCCCCGTCCAAATCATTCTGTTCCAAGGCGCTCGCAAAAGGCCCAGCATCAATTTGAGCACATCTGGACTCCAAGTCAGAAGACTGGAGATCATCACGAGGCTTACATCGCTTGGGCCCTACCAAGGGGCAAGGAGCATCGAGGGCATACGAGTAGTGCACCCCCAAGTGGTCCGAAAAATCGCGCGTAAAGTGATCCACAGAAACCGCAGGCAAGTCACGATGATTAACAGCAAAGTCAATGCGACGAGAGCGCACTCCTTGGGCATTGACCGGGCCCGTGGCAGGAAGGGGCCGGCCACGCGCACATTCATCACCAGCAAGCACGATGCCTTGCGAAATTAGCGATCCTAAGCGGCCTTGGGAAGGCTCAAGGTTGTAGTCGCCCAAAACCACAAACCTATAACCCGAGGTAACCGCACACGCCAAAACCTCATCCACTTGTGTCTGGGCAACTGGCTCGTTGCCGGCCTGGCCATAAAAGGCCACCACCAGGATGGTTTCATCAGTGGCACTCCGGGAGCTCGCAGGGAGCGAAGAATCATCCTCAGGGAGGGATCGCAAATTAAAGAGCCCCGCCACGTGCCTGGTGGAAGCAGGACCCTTACACAACTGGACGTGCCGAAAAGGAAAATCGCTGACCAAAGCAACCCGGCTGCCGAGATCCTCAGGAGCGCTCAGAGCAACATGCCGGCCATGCGCTTTCCACTGGTTGCGATAGCCGATGCCAGCCGTTTCAGGAACATTGACCTCGGACAACGCCATAATCTGTGGGGGGCCTTGCCGAAGCAGAGCATCGAGCAGCCCCACCGTCGACGTGCCACGCCGGTGAACATTCAAGCACGAAATTCGAATCACACCGACGACATGGGGGCTCGCAAGGCCTTTTCAGCAGCAGCGAAGGCGAGCTCGCCTTGCTCTTTGCGAACAGAGGCAGGAGCAGCATCATGAAGCTTCTTATTGGCAGCAAGGGAGCGCAACCGAATCCACGCCCTCGCCTTAGCAGTGCGAGAAGGGCACTGTCCCTTGACCGAACGATGCTTCCTAGCGATCTCTGCAGAGGGGCACGGCGCTCGGCATTTGCGGCACACCCAAGCCGGGCATATGCGCAAGGGATACTTATCAACAGTATTGGTGTCCTTCCCGGCCTGGCGCGGCCACCCGAAGGCATAAAAGTCCTGAGCCTCCAGCTCGCGCAGCACCGGCAGGAGCTTAGCCTTCTGGGCATTGTTGCGAGTGACACTGATCTTTGAGGCCCATTTGGTGGCCGAGTGTGATTTCGCTTCCTTGTTCCACACAGCCCAAGAGACGCGCGGGTGGGCCTTTGTTTTATGCTCCCGGCGAAAGCGCCACAAAGAGTCCTTGCCAAAGCGGGCCGCATCAGCAGTCGAGATGCCTGCCTGGCACCGTTTACATCTCCAGTACGCCTCCTCGCCATCAGCGAGGTCACGAACACAGGAAGCCTGGCGGGCAGGAGCGAGCCCAAGCTTCTCCCCCGGATGCGAATCCAAGAAGTGCCGCTGATAGGCCGCATAGGCCTTCACAGGATCAGCACACTTGCGGCGAAAGGGGCAAAGCCTGCATTTGGCAACTCCATCAGGGAAGGCACGGCCGCGATTACGACGGGCCATCACAAGGGCAGACTGAGGCAGGGCCCGGCTGGCATGATGCAACCGCTCAGGTTGCGGGGCATCATCATCGTCCCACTCCGGCAAGGCAGGCATTTGAGAATGCACGGAAGCACCAGAAGAGACGGCTCGGGACCAGACCGTCGCAGCAGCACCGCGAGCGCGCTTAAGAGAACTGGAACCAGACCGGGGGACAGCAAAACAATCGCCCCTTTGCGAACTCGGAACTGAAGCAACATGCCGGGATTGCGTAGCGGCCTTTCTGCTCGACGCGTTGGTGGCAGTCCACACAGTGCCCGCCTTCACAGAAGATGATCGGCTGGCCTTGGATCGGTTTGATCGGGCGCAAGCAGTCCAAACAGTACCAGAGCACTGGGAAGCATCATCCCCTCCAGCCCTCAAGTCAACGACAGCACCACTCGTAACGGAAAAAACCTCCTCAGGGTAGTCTTTAGCATCCTTAGCGGGCAAAAGAAGCTCGATGTGCCGAGGTGTGTACCATAACACCAGCCTCCTTTTGCGCTGCTGCGCATGAAACGACATCGCACTAAAATTCCCATCGCGTGGGATCACAAGGATGTGGCAATCAAATAAGCGTCCGAGAGCCTTCAGCTCGATGGTAGAGGCGTATGCAGATTCCGAAGCAATTAACTTGAGGTATTCCTCAAAGGCGTCCTCCGGAGATGCGGCATTTTCGCGCAATTTTTGTAAAGCCGGCCCGTGGCCGTCCCATTCCCCTATATATTGCGAGGCATATTTTCGCAAGTGCTCGACACAGCGCGCCCTCAAGTCCCTGTGGGAGTGCTCGGTTTTCTTAGGGCCCGAAAGCCAGTGGAGGCCACGCGCTATGGCGTGAAACAAACAGGCTCCGTCTTTCGGAGTCTCAATGAGATCACACCCCGAGGGGATTTGCCGATGCGAAGCCGCAACATGTTTGGCAGGGGACACCTCCTTACCGTCATCATCCAGTTCAGCGGGGACCTGAATTTTAACGGATTGGGGCTCCAACGCAGGCTTCTCCTTGGCAAGACAGGGAGTCGGCGCACATCGCAGAGGTCGCTGCTTAGCTTGCTTAGGCTTGTAGGGTGCAACCGTGGCCCACAGCGTGATTTCATTGTCCTTCCCCGGCTCGCTCTCGACGATAGCACTCAAAGGAACCAGATCAAGATCGCCGTGTTTAAGCGTAGCTCTGAAGCGATACAAGTACTCAGCGCCAGTGCGCTTATGCTGAATCAAAGCCACATCCTTGAAGGATTGGTCCAGCACCTGCAGCACTTCCTTCTGTCCCCAGCTAGCCGGCACATGAGGGAAATTCCAAACACGCGGGACAGCCTGTGAGGGATCCCTAGGCGATCTGGCGCCAATGCGTCCGCCCTGGGTGGCAAGGCCATAAGGAGCACTCATGCGGAGGCCGCGTTCAAGGTACGCAGTCGGAGCTTCCCCCTTGGTAACAGCAAGCCACTGCACAGTGGAGACAAGCTTGCCGCGCGGCACATCAACAAAAACTCCATCCCGGCCACTGACAGCAACGAGAGAAGACAACTCGGAGTCCAGGAGGCGAGCAATGCCAAACAACTGCAGTCCTTGCTTGCCAGCCTGCTGCTCCTCGACCCAACCCCACGTGTCACTCAAAGTGATTTGGTGAGAGCTTGCCCAAGAAGAAGCAGCACGACTCGGGTTGTTCTTCCAATGCTTGAATTTATCAGGCGTCATGTACATCTCAGGCACCTTAAAGTAGACGACCGAAGTGGACGCAGGAACAACTTTAACGGCCTTGGCCTTGTGCCCCGCAAAGCAAGGGACACCACCATCAGCAGGGTCAGATTTGCAATGTGCAATCGAGGCTCGTCGAAAACGGAGGAGATCTCCCACACATCCCGGGACCTTGTGAGGACCATTTGCGTCCAAGGTTACAAGGGTGATTTTATGGGATTTGCTGGTGCCTGCAAGCATGGTGCGAATTCTCGGCAGCGCCGAGGGCTCGACAAGAATGACAGCTTCCAGAGTAGAACCCGGTTTAAGTTCGTCCAATGCTTTGGCAATGCCATCCTGCGACAACAACTGCGCGCTCCAATCCTGCCTTCGGAGCTGGAAGGGGCCCTGCGGGGGAGCACGCTGAACCTTGGTCCAGCCCTCAGCATCACGAGGAGGCCGGTCGCCCTGCCCCTTGCCCTTAGGTCCAGACTTGGGTGGGGACGCCTCTGCACTGCCTTTAGCAGCACCCTTGGCCGAGCCCTTTGCAGCACCAGGCTGACCACCTCTGCCACCAGCTGCTTTGCCCTCGCCCGGCTCACGAGACGAAGGATGGCGGCTCGACTCATGGTTTTTTCGCTTGTTGCTGGGGTTAGGGTCAGGCTTATGGCGTTTGGGCCCTCGCTCCAGGTCCGGTTCCTGCAGCACAACACGGGGAGGGGTTGCCGGGGCACCTCCCATTGCATTTGCAATGGCTTCCTGCACAGCTTTCTGAATGAGCGCAGTGATCATGGGCATAAGCTGTTCCGTGATGCTGGCCATCATGCCCTCAAACGGGTTGCCGCCTCCAAACCTTAGGCCAGTGGGGCCCGAGCAGCCCTCAGGCAGGCAGGAGCGCGAGGCAGCAGCAGAGTCCTGGTCCTTTGTCACAAGAGTGCTTGCACAGGCAGAGGCAATCACGTCACTGGTATCCTGACCCAAGATCCCTTGCACTTGCACGTTACCACCCATCCTCGGAGGGACAGGTGCACTCGCAGATTGTGTCTCACACACAAAGGTTGGCATCAGGTTGCTAGGGGTCAAGTGGGATATACTCGGACCTTGCGGTCGGCCTGAACCCAAAGACCCTTGCTATTGCGCTCGGCCAGAAACCCTCGGAAGAGGCTGCCCGCCAGCAGGTCGCAGTCCACAATTGCAGTTGTGCATCAAGCCAGCAGAGCATACCTCGCACACACATGTTGGAAGCAGGCTGCTCGGGGCCAAATGGGATATACTCGGACCTTTCGGCCTACCTTGACTCACTGACCCCGGCAACTGCACACAGACAGGCGGGCTTCTTGGATCATACATGCCAGCATGGCACACGTGACACAGGCAGCAAGGCATCAAACCACCAGGGGCCACGCGGGATATACTCGGACCTTTCGGCCTGTCTTGACCCAGTGGCCCCTGCAGTTGCACACCGTCAAGATCGCTCTGAGTTTGCAGCGGTCCCGCTCTGCGCGTCGCAGGCACCTGGGCGCAGGCGCCATCAGAAAGACTCCCCACAGCCCGCATGAAACAAGCTTTGCTGGTGCAATTCGGACAGGGGCCCATGGCAGCATGAGATGTATCAAGAAAAACCCGATCCGAACCCTGCAAGTCAGCAACAAGTGGAACCTGACACATGCAAGAGGAGACTGCAACGAGCCTGGCAGGGTCCCGGCCACACACATCAGAAGCTACAGGCTCACTCTGAGGCAAGACCACACATGTCGGCACAGCATCTCTCCCTGTCAAGGGCTTGCAAGTGCACTCGGGAACTCCAAAAAGCACAGGAGGGCATCTAAACCGAAAGGGTGAAGGGAAACCCTGTTGAAGGCGTTCAGCACCACACTCAGCACGGTCCTGGGACTGCTCGACGAGACCACGGTCCCCTCGCCCCACAGATATGCACGCCGACGGCGGCCTGTATTGGGAAGGCCCCCGGAGCCCTGGGTCAGCGACCCCACCTCCTCCTGGCAAAAACTCCAAACCCGGATTACACCCACCACCTGGGCTCCGGGGGCACGCTCTATTAGGTATCACAAGATCATCCCGATCAGCTGTTGCAGCAGGCTGGACATCAGGTACCCAAGGGGGCATAGGCCTAAACCCTAGGGGAGAAAGTGAGCCATGGTCAGTGCAGCAATGGGGCAGCGCATCGCCCCCAACAGAAGACACGGGTACCCCTATGGGGGAGGACCTAAACCCTGGTCTCAGTCTCAATCTTTGGCCTTTTGCGGGTCTTGATTGCGCTGAGCTCCCACAGAACACTAAGAACACGGCCATAAAGGCTCTTCGTCCTACAGTCAGGCTCGCACTCACCATCACAATGGGCACTAGTTAGGCCTCTCAGGCTCTTTGCCCTTTCGCGGGTCTTGTTGATTTCTTGACACTCACAATCATCACTAGCTAGGCCTCTCAGGCTCTTTGCCCTTTCACGGGTCTTGTTGATTTCTTGAATGTCACACACGGGGTTCTCAGCAGCGCAAGTCGACGTCCCACATGGCCCAGCACCAAGGTCCAGACCAGACGCTGAGGGAAGAAGCTGCTGCTGCGGCGCGTAGTAAAGAAATTCCTCAGAGAAAGTGTCCTCAATCAAGTGGAGCCCAAATGCTGCACTTGCCTGCGGCACGTAGTAAAGAAACTCCTCAGAGAAAGTGTCCTCAATCATGTGAAGCCCAAATGTTGCACTTGCCTGCGTGTCAGAAGCATGCACACAAAGCTCACTCGCCAAAGGGAGCCCCTGAGCAGGGCATTTAGCCCCAGCAATAGCAAGGGCATCCTCTCGACAAACACCCATCGAGAGCTGCACCTGAGAATCATCCTCGGCAGATGCAAGACCGATCCCCGACTGCCAAGGATCTGCCACGGCAGCAGAGTTGCTGCCCCCACTGGTGCCATCTGAGCTGGCCCCCACTGAAGCCCCTGACCACAAGCCAAAGGCCCCTACTGCGCTCCACACCATAGTTCTCGGCACACCACGTTGAGCCAAGAAATCAAAATCCTTCTGGAACAGCTGAAGCTGAAAACCACGTGCTCGAACAATGAAAGCGCTCAGCATTTGCAGGCGCTGAGCCACCCACGGTTGCGCATCTCGGTCATTGCCAGACGCTTTGCCCCAGCTGCCGAAGCAGCTCTTTTCTTTCCCATTCACTTCTTTTCCCAACAAAGAAGCACCATCACTCAAAGCACAATGCATTCGCTTCAAAGATCGCCGTAAGTGTAGGTAGCACCCACAATCAAGGCCTCCAGAAGAAGGAGCCATGGCCCGAAGGCACGTGTGGGAAGTGTCAGCCCTGCACTCGGGAAAGTACAGGTTAACCAGCTCAAGGCACGCGGAGCCCCTCCCCACTTGAGCCCAAAACTCCAGAATTTCCGGTGGTCTGGGGGCTGAGCGACTTCGAGAAGACCGCTCAGCTGCTGTCCGAGGTCCTCGCGGGTCGGGTGAAACATCCCGCAACCTGCTGATTCATCTAGGAGAGTGCGAAGCTGCGCAGCACAAGTCCAGAGCGATGATCATCAGCGACACTATTAACAAAAGACGAGGCAACATTAAGAGAGCCTTCGCCACACGTTGAATGGGAGGGAAGTCAGGAAGCCGAAGTCCGTCTGACATGAAACCTCCTCTGGTGAAAAGCAACGAATTGGATGTATCAGATTAGCTACGCAATCACATCCGGAAACATTCCGAGCAGCACAGCTACGGTTCGGAAAGAAGAACAACTCAAAACGACCTGAGCATCAAAGCAACGAGTCAGGTCCCCTGCACAGAGCAGCAAGGCTACAGGTCTGAGCAAGGCAAAAGAAGCTCGCGGGAGGCTCTCACATCAACTCAGAAGGCGTCGTCAGGGGAGCTCAGAGGACCTCGCCAGTCGCAGCCGCCAGCAGCCGCCCTTGTAGTTGACGAAAAGGAGGAAGTAGCGTGAACCAGCAGCCCACACCAGCAGCAGCAGCGCCAAACACAGTCGAGCTAGCCGCGCTAGGAGTAGAGCAAGTTCACACCAGGCGCACACGGATGGGCCACAGCCCCACAGATCAAGCATTGGTCATGAGAAAAGTCCTGGGACCAGCACAGCCCGCCAGCAGCAGCATCACCCACTCACGCAGGCAGAGCCGCGCTCAGCAGAGGCTCTGAGCACACTCCAGGAGCGCACGGGAAGCCCTAAGGGGAGCCTAAACCCAAAGAAACCCTAAAGAAAAAGGGGGAACCAGGAGAGCGCAGTGTCACGGAAAGCCAGGAAGGGTAAACCCCCGCCACAGCAGCAGCGTCACGCAGCAAAGCGAATCCTCGCTCAAACAGATTATGGTTAACGTAAGGCGTACACGGATGCCTCTAGGGAGAAGGTGGGGCCTAAACCCGAACAAACCCAAAGAGGAGCAGGCAGGAAGTGATAAAGCGTTCCGCCGAAAACGTGAAAGAGTGCGAGCTTGCAGAGAATTCCGCCAGCAGCAGCAGCGCCACACTAGGAAGCAAAGCCGCGCGCAGCAGAAGGCCTGAGCTCACGCAAGATGCACACGGGTACCCCTAGGGGAGAAGGGCCTAAACCCAAAGCAACCCTAAGGGGAGGCGAAGGCATCGTCAAGGGCAAATCAAAGAATAAGAGGCCCAAGATGTGTGGTCCAAGATCATCCAGGTGCAGCCAAAATGGTCAGGGCCTGGCCCCTTCCGGCTCAGCATCATCGAGAGGAACGCTTTTCACATGTTTATCCAGCTTCTCGGCAGCAGCTGCCGCGATCCGGATGGTGGCAAGCTCCCAATCCCGAGCCTGGTCACACTGCTGATGCCATCGCTCCCTTAGAGAGCCCAAGAGCCTGTTTTGCATGCAGTTGCCCGCCGCCTGATCTGCAGCATGGTTAAAGGCGCGGAGCACATCCGCATCGTGATCCGGCGAAGGCCTCCAGCGGGGGTGCTTATTATGAGACGGCACCCAAACCAAGGAGATAGCACAGCCCCGCCTCTCCAGCTCCTTCCAGAGACGGCGCACGTCCCTCAGCAAGAGACCCAACGTGAATGGATCATCACCTTGCCCCGAGATGGCCGTAAGGGCAGCTTTGCAGTCGGTCAAGATAAAGAGGCACGGCGCACAGCCCTCACTCCACACCCGGTGGACCGAAGCAAAGGCCGCGTGGAGGGCCAGAACTTCTTGCCGATACGGGGATTGATCCTCTGCCCCAGTGCCCATGGCATAGACACAAGACGGATCGCCGATCACCACCGCATAAGCACCAACAGATAGATGGCTGGAGCCATCAGTAGCCGCATAAATCCTGCTCCTGCCCGAGCCGAGTGCAGCACGGAAAGCAGCATCTAAGTCCGCCCGAAAAGCCCCACAGTCAGAGGAGGCAGGCGCCGGAGGCTTCAAGGGAGTCGACTTTGCAAACATGCGCTCCTCCGCTCGCGTCGTCGGCGGGGGATGGTCCCGTCGGAGCGCCTCGGTACACTCGCAAACCCATGTCACATGCGGTCGCGACGGAGCAGTCGCGCCGCAGAGGCACTGCATGCGCCTGTGCTGCTCGTTCAAACCCTGCCCGGCCGTAAAGAACCAGCACGAGCCTCCCGTGACAGCAGCGGCCCGTCTCATATAAGGAGTGGTCGCCTCATGCATGGCAACACGGTGCCCACGAAAGCTGAAGCGCGCCGCAACGGAGGCGCAAGATCCAGGCCGCGTGCAAGGCTCGGGTCCGGCCTATGAAAGCTCCGCCAGACGCGCTGGCATCTCTGCATGTAAAGGTGCCGGTAGTGGTCAAACAGCCAGCCCTTAACCTCAGCGAAGCTCTCCCATCCGACCTGCACCTCACGAGAGATCCCTAAGTCATCGCGGCAGGCGAAGAAGAAGCCGTCAGGGCGTTCAACCACGCTCCACCCCAATTTGCGAAGGAGGCCAGGCGCAGCAGGCAACAGCTGATCCCAGCGCTGGCCCCGGGCGTCACGCGGCTGCTCCAGAGCAAAGGCCGGAGGCTTGCAGAGGAGGCGCCAGGCCTCGCGGAGCACAGCAGAGTCAGCAGCACACTGTGGCTCCAGCATCCACCCCACATGTTCGAAGATCAGGACACGCGGGGCTTCAAAGGAAAATTGACAGTCAAAAACTCGAATCGCAGCATCTCTAACTTGCTTTATCTCGCCTGCCAGCGGCGTAGCGTAGGCAGCGGCCCACACCAAACACGGGTAAACAAGCGATTTCAGCATGAGGGCCCGCAGTCGACTGCAAGCGGTCACCCAGCGCAAAAGGTCCATGCGCAGCAAAGCTTTTCTCAAGGAAAATTTCAGCAAGCCCCATTCATCATTAAAGGAAACAGTGACACCTAAAACTTCAAGAGTTTGCGAAAACTGATAGTTTAATCGGGCAGCCAGAGCAGGAGCCTCGACATGACCCTCTGGCGCCACGATCGCACACTTTGGCAGGGATATTTCAAGACCACAAGTGGCATCGAATCGGTCGGAGCGCCGAATCGCATGCTCCAGGTCGCCAAGATCCGCAGAGAAAGTCCAGAAGGAACGGTCGTCCAAGTAGACCAGGCCTGAAACCCCTTGCCTCAACACAGCCAAGGTCCAAAGGTGGCTGAAAGCGGCAGCAAGGGTGGGACTTAAGGGACAACCCTGAGCTATACCCAAGCGGGGCTTAAACCAGGCATCACTGTATGCACCATCAAATTGGACGATGCGCGAAGCTCGCGTGTAAAAGGCCTTCAGCAGTGGCCAAAGAAAAGGCGGCGCTTTCAGATGAGAAAGGAGGACCTCAAGGGCTTCAAACTGGATGGCATCAAAGAACCCCGCAATGTCCTGTTGTACCGCAACATTAGCGCCACCGCGCATTGCAGCATTCAGCTGAAGCAGGGCACCCGACACCGACGTGCCCGGGATGCCACCGGCATCCGACGGAGACCTCCAAGAACCTATCCAGTCGGAGAGTTGGGCATTCAGAATCCTTGCTCCCGCACGCCAGACAGCTTGAGAGACGGTTAACGGCCTGAAGCCCCCCTTGATTTTCTTAATCATCACCACACGTGCCTGCGCCCACTGGGCGGGGACGTCACAACAAGCAATGCACCGATTCCACAGCTGGGAGGTCCACACCCACCAAAGATCAGGCATGGAACAAAGCAGCCCAGGTTTCCACGCATCCGGCCCGGCAGCACGGTGCCGCATGGACTGCATTGATCGTCGGAGAGCCTCCGGCGTGATGTTAGGCACGACCTCCAAGCTAGCGGGGCGCGGCAAGGGCCGCAACAGGTCACGCATGGCTTGCATGTCAACCGCCCGAAAGGACGCGGGACAAAGCTTCGCACGCAGGTCCTTCGCCACAGCTGCAACCGCGACCGCCGGATGTGCAGGGTCGCCCGGACTGGCAACATCCGGAAGCTGACGCTCCCAAGCAAGTTGCTCATCAGCGCGCCGCTTGACAAAAGACCGGGCACGAGGCAGGTCAGCACGCGTCCTGGTGCGCCACATTTGCTTTCTTGCCTCCTCCTCCTGCTGCGTGAAAGTCTCGATGAGCTGTGCAACATGTGGAAGAAGAGAGAGCTCATCGCCATCACGGGCATAAGGCAGGCTGGGCACCTTCAAGCGCGTGGACCGGAGTGAGCGCCTGATACGCGCCACCAGCAAATCATCGTTCGTCCGGTGGGAAAGAACCTGAAGCCTCGCACGGAGTCGCAGCAAAAGGCGCAGGCTCTCCGACTTCACAAGCTGCTTGCCAGCCCGTCCCGCGGCACTGTGGGCGACAGGCTCCCAGGAAGACGCACGAGGAACGCACTCTGCAGAGCACGGCTCACACAGCAGAAGCTCAGCGGTGTCCGACAAGAAGCGCCAAGCCCCGTCCAAATCATTCTGTTCCAAGGCGCTCGCAAAAGGGCCAGCATCAATTTGGGCACATCTGGACTCCAAGTCAGAAGACTGGAGATCATCACGAGGCTTACATCGCTTGGGCCCAACCAAGGGGCAAGGAGCATCGAGGGCATACGAGTAGTGTACCCCCAAGTGGTCCGAAAAATCGCACGTAAAGTGATCCACAGAAACCGCAGGCAAGTCCCGATGATTAACAGCAAAATCAATGCGACGAGAGCGCACTCCTTGGGCATTGACCGGGCCCGTGGCAGGAAGGGGCCGGCCACGCGCACATTCATCACCAGCAAGCACGGTGCCTTGCGAAATTAGCGATCCTAAGCGGCCTTGGGAAGGCCCGGTTGTAGTCGCCCAAAACCACAAACCTATAACCCGAGGAAACCGCACACGCCAAAACCTCATCCACTTGTGTCTGGGCAACTGGCTCGTTGCCGGCCTGGCCATAAAAGGCCACCACCAGGATGGTTTCATCAGTGGCACTCCGGGAGCTCGCAGGGAGCGAAGAATCATCCTCAGGGAGGGATCGCAAATTGAAGAGCCCCGCCACGTGCCTGGTGGAAGCAGGACCCTTACACAGCTGGACGTGCCGAAAAGGAAAATCGCTGACCAAAGCAACCCGGCTGCCGAGATCCTCAGGAGCGCTCAGAGCAACATGCCGGCCATGCGCTTTCCACTGGCTGCGATAGCCGATGCCAGCCGTTTCAGGAACATTGACCTCGGACAACGCCATAATCTGTGGGGGGCCTTGCCGAAGCAGAGCATCGAGCAGCCCCACCGTCGACGTGCCACGCCGGTGAACATTCAAGCACGAAAGTCGAATCACACCGACGACATGGGGGCTCGCAATGCCTCTTCAGCAGCAGCGAAGGCGAGCTCGCCTTGCTCTTTGCGAACAGAGGCAGGAGCAGCATCATGAAGCTTCTTATTGGCAGCAAGGGAGCGCAACCGAATCCACGCCCTCGCCTTAGCAGTGCGAGAAGGGCACTGTCCCTTGACCGACCGATGTTTCCTAGCGATCTCTGCAGAGGGGCACGGCGCTCGGCATTTGCGGCACACCCAAGCCGGGCATATGCGCAAGGGATACTTATCAACAGTATTGGTGTCCTTCCCGGCCTGGCGCGGCCACCCGAAGGCATCAAAGTCCTGAGCCTCCAGCTCGCGCAGCACCGGCAGGAGCTTAGCCTTCTGGGCATTGTTGCGAGTGACACTGATCTTTGAGGCCCATTTGGTGGCCGAGTGTGATTTCGCTTCCTTGTTCCACACAGCCCAAGAGACGCGCGGGTGGGCCTTTGTTTTATGCTCCCGGCGAAAGCGCCACAAAGAGTCCTTGCCAAAGCGGGCCGCATCAGCAGTCGAGATGCCTGCCTGGCACCGTTTACATCTCCAGTACGCCTCCTCGCCATCAGCGAGGTCACGAACACAGGAAGCCTGGCGGGCAGGAGCGAGCCCAAGCTTCTCCCCCGGATGCGAATCCAAGAAGTGCCGCTGATAGGCCGCATAGGCCTTCACAGGATCAGCACACTTGCGGCGAAAGGGGCAAAGCCTGCATTTGGCAACTCCATCAGGGAAGGCACGGCCGCGATTACGACGGGCCATCACAAGGGCAGACTGAGGCAGGGCCCGGCTGGCATGATGCAACCGCTCAGGTTGCGGGGCATCATCATCGTCCCGCTCCGGCAAGGCAGGCATTTGAGAATGCACGGAAGCACCAGAAGAGACGGCTCGGGACCAGACCGTCGCAGCAGCACCGCGAGCGCGCTTAAGAGAAGTAGCGGCCTTTCTGCTCGACGCGTTGGTGGCAGTCCACACAGTGCCCGCCTTCACAGAAGATGATCGGCTGGCCTTGGATCGGTTTGATCGGGCGCAAGCAGTCCAAACAGTACCAGAGCACTGGGAAGCATCATCCCCTCCAGCCCTCAAGTCAACGACAGCACCACTCGTAACGGAAAAAACCTCCTCAGGGTAGTCTTTAGCATCCTTAGCGGGCAAAAGAAGCTCGATGTGCCGAGGTGTGTACCATAACACCAGCCTCCTTTTGCGCTGCTGCGCATGAAACGACATCGCACTAAAATTCCCATCGCGTGGGATCACAAGGATGTGGCAATCAAATAAGCGTCCGAGAGCCTTCAGCTCGATGGTAGAGGCGTATGCAGATTCCGAAGCAATTAACTTGAGGTATTCCTCAAAGGCGTCCTCCGGAGATGCGGCATTTTCGCGCAATTTTTGTAAAGCCGGCCCGTGGCCGTCCCATTCCCCTATATATTGCGAGGCATATTTTCGCAAGTGCTCGACACAGCGCGCCCTCAAGTCCCTGTGGGAGTGCTCGGTTTTCTTAGGGCCCGAAAGCCAGTGGAGGCCACGCGCTATGGCGTGAAACAAACAGGCTCCGTCTTTCGGAGTCTCAATGAGATCACACCCCGAGGGGATTTGCCGATGCGAAGCCGCAACATGTTTGGCAGGGGACACCTTCTTACCGTCATCATCGAGTTCAGCGGGGACCTGAATTTTAACGGATTGGGGCTCCAATGCAGGCTTCTCCTTGGCAAGACAGGGAGTCGGCGCACATCGCAGAGGTCGCTGCTTAGCTTGCTTAGGCTTGTAGGGTGCAACCGTGGCCCACAGCGTGATTTCATTGTCCTTCCCCGGCTCGCTCTCGACGATAGCACTCAAAGGAACCAGATCAAGATCGCCGTGTTTAAGCGTAGCTCTGAAGCGATACAAGTACTCAGCGCCAGTGCGCTTATGCTGAATCAAAGCCACATCCTTGAAGGATTGGTCCAGCACCTGCAGCACTTCCTTCTGTCCCCAGCTAGCCGGCACATGAGGGAAATTCCAAACACGCGGGACAGCCTGTGAGGGATCCCTAGGCGATCTGGCGCCAATGCGTCCGCCCTGGGTGGCAAGGCCATAAGGAGCACTCATGCGGAGGCCGCGTTCAAGGTACGCAGTCGGAGCTTCCCCCTTGGTAACAGCAAGCCACTGCACAGTGGAGACAAGCTTGCCGCGCGGCACATCAACAAAAACTCCATCCCGGCCACTGACAGCAACGAGAGAAGACAACTCGGAGTCCAGGAGGCGAGCAATGCCAAACAACTGCAGTCCTTGCTTGCCAGCCTGCTGCTCCTCGACCCAACCCCACGTGTCACTCAAAGTGATTTGGTGAGAGCTTGCCCAAGAAGAAGCAGCACGACTCGGGTTGTTCTTCCAATGCTTGAATTTATCAGGCGTCATGTACATCTCAGGCACCTTAAAGTAGACGACCGAAGTGGACGCAGGAACAACTTTAACGGCCTTGGCCTTGTGCCCCGCAAAGCAAGGGACACCACCATCAGCAGGGTCAGATTTGCAATGTGCAATCGAGGCTCGTCGAAAACGGAGGAGATCTCCCACACATCCCGGGACCTTGTGAGGACCATTTGCGTCCAAGGTTACAAGGGTGATTTTATGGGATTTGCTGGTGCCTGCAAGCATGGTGCGAATTCTCGGCAGCGCCGAGGGCTCGACAAGAATGACAGCTTCCAGAGTAGAACCCGGTTTAAGTTCGTCCAATGCTTTGGCAATGCCATCCTGCGACAACAACTGCGCGCTCCAATCCTGCCTTCGGAGCTGGAAGGGGCCCTGCGGGGGAGCACGCTGAACCTTGGTCCAGCCCTCAGCATCACGAGGAGGCCGGTCGCCCTGCCCTTTGCCCTTAGGTCCAGACTTGGGTGGGGACGCCTCTGCACTGCCTTTAGCAGCACCCTTGGCCGAGCCCTTTGCAGCACCAGGCTGACCACCTCTGCCACCAGCTGCTTTGCCCTCGCCCGGCTCACGAGACGAAGGATGGCGGCTCGACTCATGGTTTTTTCGCTTGTTGCTGGGGTTAGGGTCAGGCTTATGGCGTTTGGGCCCTCGCTCCAGGTCCGGTTCCTGCAGCACAACACGGGGACGGGTTGCCGGGGCACCTCCCATTGCATTTGCAATGGCTTCCTGCACAGCTTTCTGAATGAGCGCAGTGATCATGGGCATAAGCTGTTCCGTGATGCTGGCCATCATGCCCTCAAACGGGTTGCCGCCTCCAAACCTTAGGCCAGTGGGGCCCGAGCAGCCCTCAGGCAGGCAGGAGCGCGAGGCAGCAGCAGAGTCCTGGTCCTTTGTCACAAGAGTGCTTGCACAGGCAGAGGCAATCACGTCACTGGTATCCTGACCCAAGATCCCTTGCACTTGCACGTTACCACCCATCCTCGGAGGGACAGGTGCACTCGCAGATTGTGTCTCACACACAAAGGTTGGCATCAGGTTGCTAGGGGTCAAGTGGGATATACTCGGACCTTGCGGTCGGCCTGAACCCAAAGACCCTTGCAATTGCGCTCGGCCAGAAACCCTCGGAAGAGGCTGCCCGCCAGCAGGTCGCAGTCCACAATTGCAGTTGTGCATCAAGCCAGCAGAGCATACCTCGCACACACATGTTGGAAGCAGGCTGCTCGGGGCCAAATGGGATATACTCGGACCTTTCGGCCTACCTTGACTCACTGACCCCGGCAACTGCACACAGACAGGCGGGCTTCTTGGATCATACATGCCAGCATGGCACACGTGACACAGGCAGCAAGGCATCAAACTACCAGGGGCCACGCGGGATATACTCGGACCTTTCGGCCTGTCTTGACCCAGTGGCCCCTGCAGTTGCACACCGTCAAGATCGCTCTGAGTTTGCAGCGGTCCCGCTCTGCGCGTCGCAGGCACCTGGGCGCAGGCGCCATCAGAAAGACTCCCCACAGCCCGCATGAAACAAGCTTTGCTGGTGCAATTCGGACAGGGGCCCATGGCAGCATGAGATGTATCAAGAAAAACCCGATCCGAACCCTGCAAGTCAGCAACAAGTGGAACCTGACACATGCAAGAGGAGACTGCAACGAGCCTGGCAGGGTCCCGGCCACACACATCAGAAGCTACAGGCTCACTCTGAGGCAAGACCACACATGTCGGCACAGCATCTCTCCCTGTCAAGGGCTTGCAAGTGCACTCGGGAACTCCAAAAAGCACAGGAGGGCATCTAAACCGAAAGGGTGAAGGGAAACCCTGTTGAAGGCATTCAGCACCACACTCAGCACGGTCCTGGGACTGCTCGACGAGACCACGGTCCCCTCGACCCACAGATATGCACGCCGACGGCGGCCTGTATTGGGAAGGCCCCCGGAGCCCTGGGTCAGCGACCCCACCTCCTCCTGGCAAAAACTCCAAACCCGGATTATATTAGGTATCACAAGATCATCCCGATCAGCTGTTGCAGCAGGCTGGACATCAGGTACCCAAGGGGGCATAGGCCTAAACCCTAGGGGAGAAAGTGAGCCATGGTCAGTGCAGCAATGGGGCAGCGCATCGCCCCCAACAGAAGACACGGGTACCCCTATGGGGGAGGACCTAAACCCTAGGGGGGCAGAGGAATCACGGCAAGGGCAGCAGCCCCGGCAAGAAGCGTCGTCGGCACCAGCGTCCTTGCGATGAAGAACTGGCCGCCACCGTCACCAGCCGCCAGCGAGCCCAGGCCATGGCAGCAGCACTGCGAGGAGGAAGAACAGGGGGGCTCCGGGGAGCCATGTCTACCACTAGCACAAGTAGCTGGCACCAGAGGCCCGGTCTCAGTCTCAATCTTTGCCCTTTTGCGGGTCTTGATAGCGCTGAGCTCCCACAGAACACTAAGAACACGGCCATAAAGGCTCTTCGTCCTACAGTCAGGCTCGCACTCACCATCACAATGGGCACTAGTTAGGCCTCTCAGGCTCTTTGCCCTTTCGCGGGTCTTGTTGATTTCTTGACACTCACAATCATCACTAGCTAGGCCTCTCAGGCTCTTTGCCCTTTCACGGGTCTTGTTGATTTCTTGAATGTCACACACGGGGTTCTCAGCAGCGCAAGTCGACGTCCCACATGGCCCAGCACCAAGGTCCAGACCAGACGCTGAGGGAAGAAGCTGCTGCTGCGGCGCGTAGTAAAGAAATTCCTCAGAGAAAGTGTCCTCAATCAAGTGGAGCCCAAATGCTGCACTTGCCTGCGGCACGTAGTAAAGAAACTCCTCAGAGAAAGTGTCCTCAATCATGTGAAGCCCAAATGTTGCACTTGCCTGCGTGTCAGAAGCATGCACACAAAGCTCACTCGCCAAAGGGAGCCCCTGAGCAGGGCATTCAGCCCCAGCAATAGCAAGGGCATCCTCTCGACAAACACCCATTGAGAGCTGCACCTGAGAATCATCCTCGGCAGATGCAAGACCGATCCCCGACTGCCAAGGATCTGCCACGGCAGCAGAGTTGCTGCCCCCACTGGTGCCATCTGAGCTGGCCCCCACTGAAGCCCCTGACCACAAGCCAAAGGCCCCTACTGCGCTCCACACCATAGTTCTCGGCACACCACGTTGAGCCAAGAAATCAAAATCCTTCTGGAACAGCTGAAGCTGAAAACCACGTGCTCGAACAATGAAAGCGCTCAGCATTTGCAGGCGCTGAGCCACCCACGGTTGCGCATCTCGGTCATTGCCAGACGCTTTGCCCCAGCTGCCGAAGCAGCTCTTTTCTTTCCCATTCACTTCTTTTCCCAACAAAGAAGCACCATCACTCAAAGCACAATGCATTCGCTTCAAAGATCGCCGTAAGTGTAGGTAGCACCCACAATCAAGGCCTCCAGAAGAAGGAGCCATGGCCCGAAGGCACGTGTGGGAAGTGTCAGCCCTGCACTCGGGAAAGTACAGGTTAACCAGCTCAAGGCACGCGGAGCCCCTCCCCACTTGAGCCCAAAACTCCAGAATTTCCGGTGGTCTGGGGGCTGAGCGACTTCGAGAAGACCGCTCAGCTGCTGTCCGAGGTCCTCGCGGGTCGGGTGAAACATCCCGTAACCTGCTGAGTCATCAAGGAGAGTGCGGAAGCTGTGCAGCACAAGTCCGGAGCGATGATTCTCAGCGACTCAGCGACACTATTAACAAAAGACGAGGCAGCATAAAGAGAGCCTTCGCCACACGTCGAATGGGAGGGAAGTCAGGAAGCCGCAGTCCGTCTGACATGTACCTCCTCTTGTGAAAAGCAACGAATTGGATGTATCAGATTAGCTACGCAATCACATCCGGAAACATTCCGAGCAGCAAGCTACAGTTCGGAATAAAGCTCGAAACGACATGACCTGAGCAGCAAAGCTACGAGTCAGGTCAAAAGCTCGGAGCAGCAGAGCTACAAATCCGAGTACTACTCAAACGACACGAATTGAAGGAAAACAAGCTCGGGGGAGACTCTCACGTACTTCAGAAGGCACCGTCAGTGGAGCTCAGAGGACCTCGCTTCCGCAGCCCACAGCAGCCGCCCTTGTAGTAGACGACGAAGAGGAAAAAGGGTGAGCCAGCAGCCCAACCAGCAGCAGCAGCGCCAGACCAGAAAGGCAGAGCAGTGCCGCTCTCAGTTGCGCCAAGCGCACGCCTATAGTACACACAGGTACCCCTAGGGGAGAGAACAGAGCCTAAACCCGAACAACCCAAAAGGGACAAGGGCCGTCGAGAGAGGATGCCACGTGAAATGTCAAGAAAGCGTGAGGCATCACGCGCACACGAAAGGTGTTAGATGCGTAGACAACCCTGGCCAGTAGCAGCAGCTCTAGTAGAGCGTAAACGCACTCAGCAAGAGGCCAAAGCGCACCTCGATTGCCCACGGGGGCTCCTAAGGAAAGGGAAGGGCCTAAACCCGAAAACCCGAAAGGAGGGGGCCAGCCAAAGGAAGCGAACCCGCCCCAGCAGCAGCAGTGCCAAGCACGAGCCAAGCTAGCAGCGCTCGGAGTGGTTCGAGGCTCGCACCCAGTAGAAGCGGATGGGCCGTAGCAAGGTCGAGCAAAATTTTTCTACAAGAAACGTCCCACTGTCAGGGACTCCCGCCGGCAGCAGCAGTGCCACATAAGGAATCATAGCCGCGCTCAGCAGAAGGCCTGAGCTCACACAAGATGCACACAGGTACCCCTAGGGGAGAAGGGCCTAAACCCAAAGAAACCCTAAGGGGGGGGCAAAGGCATCGCGGAGTCACGGAAACCTGGGAAAGCAAGCTCCACACAATAGCAGCAGCACCACGCAATAAAGCGAGGCCGCGCTCATGCGTAGAGGAGTTTACGCCAGGTGCACACGGGAACCACTAGGGGAAAGAAGGGGCCTAAACCCAAGCAAACCCGAAGAGGAGCAGGCAGGAAGTGATTGTTCGTTCTGCCCAGCACATAAAGAATGCAAGCGGCACACACACGAAAGACATGCCAAGGGCAATCAAAGAATTGAGAGGCCCAAGGTGTGTTGTCCAAGATTATTCTGGTGCAGCCAAAGTTTGTCAGGGCCTAGCCCCTTCGGGCTCAGCATCATCAAGAGGAACGCTCTTCACATGTTTGTCCAGCTTCTCGGCAGCAGCTGCCGCAAGCCGGATGGTAGTCAGCTCCCAATCCCGAGCCTGATCACACTGCTGATGCCATCGCTCCCTGAGAGAGCCCGAGAGTCTGTTTTGCATGCAGTTGCCCGCCGCCTGATCTGCAGCATGGTTAAAGGCGCGGAGCACATCCGCATCATGATCCGGCGAGGGCCTCCAGCGGGGGTGCTTATTATGTGACGGCACCCAAATCAAGGAGATAGCACAGCCGCGCCTCTCCAGCTCCTTCCAGAGACGGCGCGCGTCCCTCAGCAAGAGACCCAAAGTAAAGGGATCATCACCATGGCTCGAGATGGCCGTCAGGGCAGCTTTGCAGTCGGTCAAGAGAAAGATGCACTTCTCGCAGCCCTCACTCCATACCCGATGGACCGAAGCAAAGGCCGCGCGGAGGGCCAGAACTTCTTGCCGATACGGGGATTGATCCTCTGCCCCAGTGCCCATGGCATAGACACAAGACGGATCGCCGACCACCACCGCATAAGCACCGACAGATCGATGGCTGGAGCCATCAGTAGCCGCATAAATCCTGCTCCGGCCCGAGCCGAGCGCGAGGCAGGCGCCGGAGGCTTCAAGGGAGTCGACTTTGCAAACATGCGCTCCTCCGCTCGCGTCGTTGGCGGGGGATGGTCCCGTCGGAGCGCCTCGGCGGCCTCGGTGCACTCGCAAACCCAGGTCACATGCGGTCGCGACGGAGCAGTAGCGGCAATGCATGCGCCGGTGCTGCTCGTTCAACCCCTGCCCGGCCGTAAAGAACCAGCACGAGCCTCCCGTGACAGCAGCGGCCCGTCGCATATAAGGAGTGGT